TTACCGCTTCCACCAACACCACCACCATCATCATCATCGTCCTTGTCGATATCATCAACAACATCATTATCATCAACAACAACATCACCATCATCATCGTCGTCATCATCATCATCATCATCATTGGCTCACTCATATTTCTACCTGTAGATTTACATTATATATATATATTCCTAATAGGTTTTGTAAATTTCCTTTAAGTGCATTTCAATTGGAACTTGTTTCTTAGCAACCAATGACAATGATTATGGTAATGATGATGGTGATGATGAAGGTGGTGGTGATGATGATGAATGGAATGATGATGATGGTGGTAGTGATGATGTAATAAAAAGGGTGATTATGATGACGATGGTGATGGTGGTGATAATAATGATATAATAACATCTTAAAAACGTCATGCAAAAATTTTTTTTACTTTACTCTTGAAATTCATCAGTGTGGTTTTGTTGTTTATATGTTCTTTGTTGTTGTTTTTATGTCCTTGGTTGTTGTTGTTGTTGTAGTTGTTGTAGTGGTAGTTGTTGTTTTTGTTATTGAAAGCGTTATAAATGGTGCATGCTTAATGGATTTTATTTTTTTTTACACTTCTCAAGTGATGTCGTTAATGATGATGCTATCAAAGTCGTTGATGCTGATGGCTTGCAAGCACTTTTCTTGTTGCTGGTAACGGTTAAATATGAAATATTATATATCGTTTTTGTGTAGTTGAAAGGATTGAATGAATTGAATGTTTATATTTATGTGTGTGTGTATGTGTGTGTGTGTGTGTGTGTGTGTGTGTGTGTGTGTGTGTGTGTGTGTGTGTGTGTTTACGGAAAAAATGAATCTAGAGTCAGATCAAATGGAATGGCGTGACAGAGTTCACGCAAAGAAAGAAACATGATGAAAAGATTGGAAATAATTACAGATTCATGAGAACAAACGAAAAACAAACAACAGTATTAAGCAGCAACAAGAAGCCACAAACAACAACAGATTGCAACAATCAAACAGCAGAAACAACAAACCTGACAACAAAAGTAACAACATACAGCAACATACAATTACAAATAACAAAAATTGCAACAACTAAACAGCAATGACAACAAACATACAACAACAAAATTTAAAACAGACAACAACAACGACAACAAACCAAAGTAACAAGAAACTGGCATGCACTCTCATCATACGAATTCATCTTTGAGATTTTCATGAATAATTTTTTCAGAACGTTCTAGTTGCACGAAATGGTTTTGTGTAGTTTTATCAGAATCAGTAATAATAAAATTGTTTACATATTATTGTGAAGATTATTTTGAGTTAAAATAGTCTTATTAAATGTTCAATTTTATTTCAAAATTACTGAAACTGATTGGACAAATCAAAATATCGAATATATAAAACGAAATTGTCTTTCATATTAAAAATGATGAATAGTAAAATATTTAATAAAAATTAAATATAAAAAAATAAACGAGGCATTTCAACACGTCGATCGTCAAGAATTTTGAGACGCCATGTGCAGCGATTGTTTTCTAAGTTTCCGCTGGGTTGTTTCTCATTTTGTAAATTCTTCCCGCTGTTTCTACCGTCTACATTTAAAAATTTGTTTGTTACTTTACATGACGAACCAACGTAATTCCTTTAAAAAATTGAAACATCTTTAAATAAAAATTGTTAAAAAATTGTCTACGGCAGCGCAAAAATTACAACGAATGCAAGGCCTCAGAAAATAATGGTATCAAAGGAGCTGTGTGTTTGTTATTTGACACGTGAACATTTCATTTGATGTCTAACGTGGAATAATGATGAAGAAAAAAATATTTTTTCCGCAAATTTGGTCTCATTGCGCAACGCCACAAAAGCAAGACTGATTTAAAATACATTCATTATATCTCTCGCAAAATGCATTCACTTCCTGTCTTGCTTGTTATGGGTTTCCCGCTCGCATGACATATTCGCGGGTGATGGGTTGCACGTGATGTATTGCACGTGATGTATGGTTGCACGTGATATGTTGCAAGAGGAAGTCCATAGAACTTTCAGCTTTAGATGCTTTCGATAAAAAAACAACAACATTGCTTAGTAACAAATAGTGAAATGTTGCACGCGATGTGTGGTTGCACGTGATGTGTTGTTGCACGTGATGTGTGGTTGCACGTGATGCGTGATGTGTTGCACGTGATGTGTGGCACGTGATGTATTTCACATGATACGTTGCACGTGATGCGTTGCACGTGATGTATGACATAGATGTGTGGCTGCAGGTGATGTGTAATTGCACGTGATGTGTGACACTTGATGTGTTGTTGCACGTAAAGTTGTTGTACGTAATGTTTTTTTTGTACGCGATGTGATGCGCGTGGTGTGTGGTGGCACGTGATGTGTTGCACGTGATACGTTGCACGTGATTATTTGCATTTGATGCGTTGCACATGATGCATTGCACGTGATCAGTGGTTGCACGTGGTATGTGATTTTACGTGATGTGTGATGTGTGGCACGTGATGTGTTGCAAGAGGAAGTCCATAGAACAGTCAGTTTAAGATGCTATCGATGAAAAAAACAACATTGCATAGTAACAAATAGTGATATGTTGCAGGTGATGTGTGGTTGCACGTGGTGTGTGATTTCACGTGATGTGTGGCACGTGATGTGTTGCAAGAGGAAGTCCATAGAACTGTCAGTTTTAGATGCTTTCGATGAAAAAAAAACATTGCATATTAACAAATAATGATATGTTGCACGTGATGTGTGGTTGCACGTGATGTGTGGTTGAACGTGATGTGTTGCACGTGATGCATTGTTGCACGTGATTTGTTACACATGATATGTTGCAAACGATGCGTTGCACAACGTTGTATAATAATAAATAGTGATCTCTTGCACATGATGCGTTGCACGTGATGTTGCAAGAGGAAGTCCATAGAACATTCATTTTTTAGATGCTTTCGATAAAAAAACAAAGCTATATAGTAATAAATAGTAATGTGTTGCACGTGATGTGTGGTTGCACGTGATGTGTGGTTGCACGTGATGTGTGGTTGCACGTGATGCGTTGTACCCGATGTGTGGTTGCACGTGATGGGTTTCTAGAGGAACTCCATAGAACATTCAGTTTTTATATGCCTTCGATAAAAAATACCGTTGAATAGTAATAAATTAATACCAGATAATAATGAATGTATGTTTCGTGTGTGTACGTTGTCAGCATGCTAGCCTACGTTACTTCTTTGTACCTTTTCCTATTTCAAAGTCAACAAATACAAATTTTGGACTCCGATCTTCCAATAAAAATTAAAAATTAATATTTTTAAAACTGTTTTTCCATATTCAGAATAATTCTTCAATAGTTTTGTCGAAGGTTATCTACTTCATTATTATTCACTTTATGTTTCTAGCATTATGTAAACAAACTATTAAAATACTGAAACGGATAAAATCTCAGCATTATATTTTGTTTGTTATCTACTCTACATTGAAAGCACTTGAATTAAATTTCAGCAGAGCAGCATATCTTTGCGTTTGATGCCATCTGTCTGAAGCATTCGGTTTGATTCCGGCTGCCATGCATAACTAAGAGCTTTTGAAAAAAATTAAAAATCTTCTTGATTTATTGCTTTCTCCATAGATTAGTAGCGAAAAATATCAGATCTGTCGAAGGGTTCAACGATACGTTATTTAGTTTTTCCAACTTCATCACAAAAGAAGTTTGAGCTTTTTATCAAATAATCTATGGAGTATCTGTGATTAAATTTTTTGTATTAAAGTATAAATCAAACATGTTCACAAATCATAGAAGTCGGAAAAAAGTTTGCTGCTGCGGTTTTCACCATATCAAATACTGTTATGAATATTTTTTCAAATTTGTATTTAAATAATAAAAAAACTTATAATTTAGAGTTTTGTTTTTAGAAGAGAATTACTGTGGAAATGTAAGTTGAGACAAACGGTCAAATTTTAAAAAATGTTCAAGTTCAACTAAGTTTTTTTTTTATTTTTAATTTATTTTTAATTTTTCAAATTCTACCCAAAAAGTATCAGTCCCTGCTAATAAAACAAATATAACAAAATCGGTACAACAAAAATAATTGTACGATTTACTATTCAGTGTTTGAAATGTTTAATTAATTAATTAATTTATCAAAATGCAATTACTGTTTATTAATTAATAATGTGTTTTTTAATACAACGTCCTACGCCTAGTGCCTGGAGCTCTCATGATGAGTTGCCATTCTATAGATCACAACCAAATGCATTCTCTTGAGGCAAGTGCTGCTTTAAATGCTTCTGAGTAAACTCAAAACAGTTTGCAAGGGCAGGCAATCACGAAGGAAAAAATAGCAAAATATCCTAAAACACGTTGGATGTAAATATCCGATGCACAGAACAATCATTAATTTAATTAATATATTTTTTTATTTATCTTTTTCTTTATTTATTCACTCATTCTTTAACTTTTATATGCAAATTATTTTGATATAATTGCTTTTGAGAAAAGCAAGTTTCCTGCCACAATGATTACTTTTAAAAGATTCTTATAGAAAAAAATCATGTCTGATAAATACTTTGAAAATAATTTTTTCTGCGTTGAAATTTTTGAAATCAAAATTTCCTCTCAGGAAGAGACATTTAAATGAAATATATCTCAATGGCACATGGAAATTGGCTAATAAACAAAACTTGTTGATATTGCTGCTGCTTCAACTTTTCGTTTGTGAACGCTTCGATATATCTTTTTTGCGAGTGTGTGTGTTCGTGTGTGAGCTACTTTGTGTGTGTGTGGGGGGGGGGGCTACAAAACCGTGTTGTTTGTGGTGTAGGATGTGAGTAATAAATGCAAATTACTGTAACCATAACATAGCAGCAACATGTAATTTTATATTCTTCGGTTGTTTTATGTTTTTGTTGTTTGTGGTGGTTTCACGCTGTGATTAGTTGAAGAACCTCTGAAGTTGACGCCATGAAAATCGAAATATGAATATTATCATTAACGATGAAAAACAAGCACAGACCTGAAGATGAGGATGTCTTTCACCGCCTCCGTCAATCTGCTGCGTTGGTCTTCTGTTTTTGGCGGCAAATAAGATTGGAGGAGGTCACGTGACGATATCTCCGCATCTGCTTCCGGGTCATATCTTTCCGCTGAAACTGAACCTCGTCTACCTGCCATTTCAAATTATGAGTGGTGAAAGGAAGTGTGGCGTGAAATGTGGTATAAAGTTGAAGGACATATATAACTGATATGACAAAAGCTGAACAATGGGAGAAACGTTGCAAGGACCTTCTCTACTCTGCCTCCTTGTTTTCGGACGAAAACTTCCGGGATCAGGTTCAGTGGCGAGGTTGTCATCATCGACGACGATGTACAGCGGGATGTTCTCCGCACGTCTGGCGTCTCGAAGTTTCGCGAAGTACTCGGCGGCGAATTCGTACAAGTCTGCTGGTCGCTCGCGAAGAACCGCGATGGTGACGTTTTTCAGCAGGTCGAACAATCCGTCGGGGAATAAGTTGAAATCCATCTCGGTTTTTTTGTTTTCAACGTTGTTGTTGTTGGTGGTGGTGTTGCTGCTGACGTTGTAGTTTAGTGTTGAAGTCGATTTTTGAACAAAGTTTTTAACGTCGGATTTGTCTCCGTCTGTGTTTACTTTTTGCTTGTAGTTGAATTGTTGCAGTTGTTTTTGGTTGTGGTACTGTTTTAGATAGAAATCATTAGGAATGAACTTACTTTAATTTTGGTTTCAATTTCTTGCAAGGGTGTTTGTTGTTTTTGTAATTTTTCCAGGTTGTTTTGTTTTGTTAAAAAAGTTTGTTTTGTTTTGTTGCAATTTTATTGTTGTTGTCTCCACTAATTTGTTTTCATACGTAGTTTTGGTTATTCTTTACAACCAATTTTGGTAAATTATCCATTTAGATTGAATTTTTAATTTTACTTCAAAAACTTTTTTATTATTTTCCAGCAAATTACAAATGTAAAAACTCAAACACAGTTAAATATTTTGCGTAAACAACAATCTCGACAGTGGGTACAAACGTTGTTCATTATGACTTATTACATTCCCAGGTCAATAGAATAGACCTGCAATTGAATACAATTTTTACATTGGAATCATGAACTTATTAAATAAAAACTTGCAACATAAGTAAAAGCAGTTAAAGAAAAATAGGAAAATTGGTTTCTAGGGAATATTGTTGAACTTGAATTTTTATTTTTGACTCTAATTAATTCGTTTAATAGCACTTTGAAAGATAAAATAAAAAAATTTTTGGTCGACTTCATCATCAAGTCGCCTGTCAATATCAAATAAATGCTATTCAGGAAATTACAACATTGATTCCAAGAAATGATGGATATTTCAAATAGGAAATAAATTAAAACTCTACGAAGCATGCGAGATTCGCGTCATTAAATATTTTCCAAAAGCACAACAACAGCAACAATATCATCATCATCAACAACATAATAATAATAATGTTAATGATATTAACAACATTATTCAATGCAATAAAGTAGCCTTATAAACATGCCTCCATATCTGAATTCTTAATTAGAATGAGAACGCGAGCGGAACTCGCTGCACAATTTAAAACTCATCAAATACTACGACGTTCAGGCCATAAGCTATCATATATATTTTAAACTATATATATATAATATATATATAATTATGCATTTGCATTTATGTATGTTTTTATGTATGTGTGAATTTGTGCGAGAGCAAGAGATAAAACCTGTGTGTTTGTTTAGAATTGTATGATAATAAACATAGTTCTTTGGCATTCATATAAAAAATTGGTTTATTTTTATGTACACATCAAAAAACTTGTACAGGCTTACGTATGTGTGTATACGAATTTTGTTTATGTTTGTTTTTCTGGTGCTGCCAGAAATTTTTAATTCAAACAGAGGATGTAGAACATATTGACGTGACGTGAATATGACTCGATGTTTACAGAACTCGTTAAGTAAGGCGACATGAACGTGCACCACTCGGCCTCATTTCAAAGGTGAGGTCCCGAAGTGAGCATGTTATCAACTTCTATGAGCAACTGTTCTTGCTTGCACACTTGCTTATGAATGTACAAACACGTATTTGTGCATCTTGTTTTTCATTCAAAATTCAGCAAGCATGTCAGGAGTTGAGTTCAGGAATCTTGCCGAAAATTTTTTAGTTTACAGCGATCCATAAAGTTCTCGTCAGAGTCTAAAAATATGTATTTTTTAGGACTATAATTCATGAAAATAAATAAATTTTAGAATATCGACACTTTAGTTTTGTGTTTAAAAAAATGAATTCATGCGCCTGAAATGTTATATTTCTAAAATAATCACATCTCATTCATGGCAAAGAAGAAAATCGTCAGTTATCTGCAATTCACCGAAAACCATCGAAACCCTTTTTAAAAACACGTTCAGGAAAAAACTTTCATGGTTTAAAAAGTGTAAAAATAGGCAACAAATATAGAATTGAATGACAAATTTTGGATGTATGAAAATATTGAATACTAAAAAACTCTAAAAAATAAAAGAAGAATGTGAAATGGACACTTGATTTACTCGCTAATTAATTAATACACTTTCACTCAGTCACAATTATTCATCTATTATAAAGAATTTTAAGCAATTTTTTGCTGCTTCAAGTCTGAAAAAATGTCAAAACATTTGAAAAAATATTATAAACTGCGTCAGAGTTTTTTAAACGGTTTTCTTACAGAAATATAAAACATTTCAGTGACGCAGAAAACTTTGTTGCAGCATATTCCAACGAATGCTTTTACGATCAATTTACGTTTTTTCAATATATGTAAACATTAAGAGGTTTTCATCCACCCACCTATCGATCCATCCATTTTAAATTTATTCATCTTTAAATTCATTCATCCAACTTCATTAGTTCATCCACCCATCTTTATTTCATCCATCTGTCCATCCAGTTCATTGTGTTATTCATCTTTTTTCAGCACTTACGCAATCTGACGTGAAATATTCGCAGGCTGCTGCTACTGCTGCCGCAAATAAACCTGGAAAAATTTGATTTGCCGTTGGAAAAATTTGTTCGAAAATTTTCCTGCGATTTCCATAGTAATAAATAATATTTATATGCTAATCTCCGAGATACCATTCTGTGACGTGTTTTTCGTTAACTTTTCAGTAATTTTCAGTGACATCTCATTGATGCGGTGTAGATGTGCCAGGCTGAGTGGCCTACAAATTATCATCTAGTTTATTTGACCAAATATTTTGGTTTATATGTGGTCATATACTTCAACCAGGCTCATCATGATAATTTCAAATAACTAACCTTACAAACAACGTATTTGTTAGTAATTAATATTTTAATATATTATAACAATGCATGTTATATATTATTTTTTATTTGTTAACATATATAATATTTTAATTATTATAAGATTGCATGTAACGAATCCAGTTTGACATTTGCAAACATTTCAATTGCAGCCTCCAGATGTGTTTAAATCATTTAGGTCATAAGTATTCTATGTGGTTATGTTTGCATATAATTGGCTAGTAATGTGCCAGAAATAGGGCAGAGAATAGTGATGTGTTATTGTTGCTGCTGTAATTGGTTTCGATGTTGTCGTTGCTGTGGTTGTTGTTTTCTCTGTTATTGTTGTTTGTTGTTGTTTCTCTTGTTTCTCACATGATTTCGTGCTCGCGTGTGCAGAAGTTTCTCGCATTGAAAGGTTCTTACCGCGAACAATGGGCAAAATGTTTTAATAAGATTTCATTGAAATTGCTCTCTACACGCGCAATATGCAATCATTGTATCTCTGAATTTATATACGAACATAGATAATGGTACAGAGACTAACGATGAATAAACTTATCACTAAAGAATAATTTATCTTTTCAAATAAATTAATTAAATTTTAGAAGACTTTTGACGACAATGAGCGAAGATTTAATGAGGATGAATATATAACATGCACTGATGGTATAAAAATAATTAAAATACATATATTAATGCGAGATACTTCCGCTCGTGTTATATGATTACATTGGACTATCTCAGGTATTATTATTGATGCTGTCAAAAAAGTGAAATTTATTTAGTTATTAAAGAACGAAAAAATTATAAACATGATTTTAAATTCATAATTAAATAAATGTATATTCGAAATTATTCTGAAATTTAGAAGAAAATGCAGTAAATAATTTTTCGGCTGTCAAATATATTATGTCATTCCCTCGGTAATGGCTGATGCTGTACAAAATGTATATGAACTACTTCTATAATTGTTTTTGTATTTGCGCTAGCTTATTTATGCGTGCGTGTTTGTAATTTCTAACGTATGTACGACGTACGTGTCTTTATACGTGTGCCATCAGCGCTTTTGTGTTTGCGAATGTGTATGTATATATGTGTGAATGTATGTGTGCATGTATGCACGTGTATACGTAGGTGTGTAGTGTGTGTATGTACGTACATGTGTGTTTGAGTTACGTGCGTGCGTGTGCCCATGTTTCGTGACAACTCTTAATATCCCACCACGTATAACGTCTCACGAGTGCTTATAAATAACTAATGTGTACACACACACACACACACACACAACACACAACACACACACACATACCACACACACAGCATACATTTGTCATTTGTTAGGTACACATACACACGTGCATATAAAATTGTCTGTATTATTATTTTTTTATTGGGCAAATAAAATACAAACAATTTATAAAATTATCTAACTATACCGAATATTGTTTTGATGGGGAAACAGGAAGAAAGAATAATAAATGTATTTGAATCTTTAAAAAAATTTAACACAAAATATAAAACAGACAACTGAATTATTTTACGTGTCATAATATTTAAAAACCTTATTTTGTTGCCATATTGTGCAATGCTATCAATAATAAACCGAAGATGATAAATAAGAAATGAATCAAATTGACGACAATCGCCAACTAAAATCCTAAAATCCAACAACATACAAGCCTAACATTGTTTCAAACGAAAAGCTAATATAATTTTAATATAAAAGAAAATGCAAATGATAAACCTTTCTGATCTGGTGGCATCAAGTGAAACATCAACACGAAGGAATTGATAGAAAATCAAGGGTCAAAATAATAAAATGGGATTGCTCGTAATCTGGCTGGCTCACCCCGCACACCCAGCAAGCACCCTCACTCGAGGATGTAATTTCATTGCGCCATCTATCTGCAACTTCAACGATATTGCAGCTGCTCGTTTGCATTTAATGTCCTCATGTTCTTGTCTTTAATGCTGTTCATGTTTGTATCGGGTATGTATGTTTTATTTGTATCAAATCTAATCGTTTTCTCATTGGAAACATGTTTCTAACTTTCTAGTTCCGAGATTTAATTGTTTTTATTAAATGCTTGACCTGTGGTGTGATTTGACTAATTGAACTTGAAATTAAGGAAACAAAAGTAAAAGTACGTAAGTTTTTGATGCGAGCAGAAATTTACATTTGTTGTCATCTCAGTAGCTAATTAGTCAAAATTAATGATGTAAAGATTTAATTAGTTCTAGAAATAATCCAACGTCATAGCTAAACCAACTAATTAGATTCCATTCGACATTGCTGTATTTGTTGTTTCTGTTAAAAATAACTCCCATTTAACAAGATACTCCTACATAGCTGTGCCTGTCTGATGTTAAATGTTGCTTACTCCCTTCAATTTTGTGCGTGTATGACAAGGTTGGTATTGATTAGATTGCATGTCGTTTTTATTGAGACCTCGCTCGTGCATCGCCCAACTGAGTGACTGTATTGTATGTATATATTCCACCTAAATAATCAAATTTGAAACAATGAATTTGATCTTTATTAAAAATGTTATGGTTAATATTCTGATGATGTATAATAATATCCCTTCAAATGAAACGCACATGGTGTAGTTAGCAGGAACTGATGAGGACGCGAGGTTTCGCTACGAGGAGATATTTTGTTCGA